GAGTAGTCTGATAATAGAGAACAGGCAGATCCTAAGTTTTTTCCTCAGTTTAAACTGTACTATCTGTTTTTGTAGGAGACTAGTCCCTTTTGAAGTAGTATTTATTTGTTTATTTTAATATCTACAGCAACAATATGAGCTGCCTTTCAGAGTTTTCACTGATGCTAAATGCCAATCTGTAAGGAAATAAATGCAGTCAGCCATAGAGTACCTGTCTTCCTCACTTGCAGCTGATGACCATGGTCCGCAGCTAATAAATAATTAACAGAAAATAAAGAAGAGTTTGATCAGGGGAAACCTCTGCAAAGTGAATATACTCTCTGTCATGTTTTCTTTTCTGAAAACAACTTCACCTTTATGAAACGTGTGGGAGATGGTACAATGTAGAATTTATCTTTTAAGGCACAGGTCAAAATCAAAACCTTAATGTTCACTTCAGAAATCAGCTGGAGACTAAAAGATGTTCTGCTACAGGGAAAATAGTTTTTGTTGCGTTCTTCTTCGGCTGCTATTCATGGATGGACATAAGAGGTGATTACTCCACATTATGTCATTACCAGGAGTTGACAGTAACAGAGAGAATGACCATCAGAATTGGACCCAAAGAGTGTTTTGAAGTGTTTAAAGCATTTCCAGACACTTCATCACCTGATACTTGAGGATTCTAATGATTCCAGTACTGTATGTTTGGGAGCAGATGAACTGAATTCATATCAGCAAATAGAAATACCAACAGTGTCTCAGTAAGTCAAATGAAGGTGCTCCTTTTATAGTTAAAAGCAAGAAATAGACACACTAAGGGGAGCCATTCATCTCATTCTAAAGTAGATGACAATAATAGGGTGGATGAAAACTGCTCTAACACCTTATATTTCTCTCCATTGACTGTGAAAGGAGATTTCAGGTGATTAGCTCAGGTGGCTACTTGGCAGATGCCTAAGATTTGGTAAGATTACTGATAAGCTATGCCAAAAAGATCTGTTATAGCGATACGAAGCATAGCACCTTTCTTATAAGCTTCTTCTAGTCTTCACTGGAATTTGATGCTGTTTCAAAACAGCAATTTCTTCTTGTAACCACAGTTGTAAGCGATTCTTCTACTATGCGAATTCTGAATAAATATTATCCTGATACCTTTTACTGCCTTTATTTTTAAAAAATTGAGACCTAATAGAGAAGCTGCATTCCTACAATGGGTTAGCCTGTGGAAATAATTCCATTCAGAAACTCTTCAAAACTGCAACAGAAGACACATGAAATAGAAAGCTTAAAAAGAAAAATACCTGATTAAAAGGAATTAGTTCTAGCCTTTTTTTCTAATTTTCTAATGACAGTTCACTGGTCAAGTGAAGTCAGTGGACTTCACTGGTACGCCCCTACTCACAGCTGTCTTAAGAATGTTGAAGAGTCTTCCTATGAATGCATAAATGTGTAATTACAAGAGAGAATATATTTACTACGCACATGCGATAAAATGATATTACCTTGTGTTATGGATCTGGGCTAAAATTTGTTGCTTATGCACAGAGCAAGTGAGCAGTACCTACTGAGGGGTACCGCCATTTTTGTATTGACACCTATTGGTCAATAGCTGTGGGAGGCTGATTCCTGTGACACACACTGACCTTATTAACATCATGCAAAGGTGGTCAAAGATGCAGTGATTCTCTATACACAAAACTGGTTGTAATAATGTAGCCTAAGGAGTAGAAGAAAAATAAAAACAAAGATAGGATTAAAAAAAAAAAGAAAGAAAAAAAATCCCAAACCTGTCCCTTAACTTGGAAAAAGATTTAGCAAAAAAATAAAGGTATCAAGGAATTTTTGTGTATTATGTCTGCTTCACATTTTGCAATAAGGTAATAAAATTTACGTATTTGTTATAAAGATGCATCCCGAAGACAGGCATTTTAATTTCTGCATAAGCAAAGCACATAAAATTTGTCATACATAGAACTATAATTTAGAATAACAATCCATTAAAGTTATTTTGATTGCATTTTTTTTTTTTCTTCATATATTTTTTCATCCTAATTAATGTAATACAGAATGAGATTTTAAGCTTTGGTTAATTTGTTTTGCTCAGACTGAAGTACTTGCACAAGCTCCTTATTGTCTAAAAATGTGAGGGGGAAGTGAACTGAAGAAGCAGTAATATTAATGCCCTCTTGAATATTCTACTAAACATTTTGAAATAGATGCTTGGATCTTCTAATTGTCAGTATGAAACTGTCTGAAGAGTTGACACTGTATGTACTGAGCCTCTTAACGGTTATTTTTTCAAACTCTGACCATGCTAAACACTTGATATCCTAGAGGAATTTGCATAAAAATGTCATAGCACCCTTCTGAAAAAGTGAATATGGCCCTTGTGACCAAATTTACAAAGTTGTCTTGATGTTTAAAAATGAAGGTAAGTAAGATTTGGAAAGCATTTAGTTGGATTAGATACTATTGAATCTAATGCTTTGTAAAAACAGGATCCTGGAGAACCCTGTCTTACTTCTTAACATGATGTTGCAGGGGGAGAAAAAAAAAAAAAAGGCAGGATAAGACAGTTTTGAAAGAAAGAAGCACAGTAACCACCTATTGAACTCAAGCTGAATGTAATTTTCTAGCTCCCATCCTGGATATATTGAGTAGTAAATTGGTGTTTCTGAATTTAGTTAAAAATAAGTCAGGCTATAATATATTCATATCCCCAGGTATCCCAGAAGCCACTGTGTGTTTACTGCCTTGATTAATATGTAAGGCAGAAACTTGTTCACTCTTCCATAAAAATGTGAAGGATCTCCTTCAAAATAGTCATGTTGGTTACATAAAGATATATATAATTTATCAAACAGGTAATATTTTTTATTGACTTATTTTAATCCTACCAGTTCCCAACTAACACCCTATGAGTACTAGTTTTCCTTCAAGTTAACAGAAAATATCTTCAATTTGAGAATAGATTGATGTGGCTTTGACTGTCTCCTTTGGGTTCTTCTCCTAAGGCTACATTTAGTGATAAAAAGCCAAAGTGTGACACTATTACATTTCTTCATAAAGGGTGATGATTCTTTCAATCCTTATGTTATTCTTCAAACATTATCTGGACCAGCCTTGTAGGGCCAGAGACTTCTCTGAGCTTGTTAAACAGCATATAAGCATATAAATAGCATACAAGAAAAGGAGATTTAAAACTCCATTTTTCTAATTTTTTTTCCATCAGCACTTTTCTCAGTGCATGTACTTTTCACAGCTGTTTTGCGCATTTTTATTTTTCTTCCTTCTGGTACTGGGATGATCACTTTTAACCTAAAAACAAATATCTTTTGATAGCTTCCACATGACACAGTGGAATTATATTCTAGATAATGAATAGCGTGTTGAGCCAGCCATTACCTGCAAGCATGCAGCAAATGTGCAAGTGTCATTGATAAATACATGGGTCAGCCAAAAATCAGCTGCTGAGTGTGCCTTCTGACCACATTGCATAAACACATGGTGGACAGAAACGATGAGAAAAAGTCAGATAACATAAAGATAAACTCATGTGACATTAACAGAAGCATAAAAATAAGCAGAGGAAAACCACTGAAATTGTGCTGTGAACTTGATCTGATGCTCTGACCTTTGCAAAAGGATGTGTTATAACTAAATCCAGTAAATGATAACTTCCCAGTTTCCATCTTGTATTAAAAGCTCCAGATATGGTGAAAAAGGAGAAAAGGTCAGATCTTCAGTGTTATGGTTATTGTATTTTGGGTTTGGTATTGCAATATAAAGCAGCTTTTCTTTTCAATGGTATTCTGTTGAGAAGTTGAGGATTTTAGAACTCCTCAGTGCCATGTGATAGAACTATTAAGATTTGTAGATTTCTCGTTATGTGACAACAAATACAAAAATTGTGTGGGGAAAAGAGTGAGTTTATCTAACTGTTGAACTATATTACTTTGAACAGAAAGATCAATATACATTTAATCCTCTTATCATTTGAAATGATTCTTCCAAGCACAGCAAAATAAGAAGTGTCATTTTCTTACAATTTATATTACTTTTGCACATTTCAATTTCCTATTTTTTTTCTGGTTCTCCAAGACATCCTTGTGATCTCTAATTTATAGTTCCTTAAGTTAATCATGTAAACAATTTATAGGAGATACTAATGTGAAAAAGAACTCATTTAAAAATGATGGTTGGGGGGACCATGATGACAAGAATGACAATCCTCAACAAAATAAATTATTTTTTAAGTTTATTTTGTTTATTTTACCTTTTATTTATTAAAAAGTGTATCAGTCTGCAAGATAAAGATAATTATTTGTGAAATTACAAATTTAAGTGCAATATAAGTATTAATTAGTGGAAGATAAATATTATGCATCCATATATGTTCTTTTGGCTAATATGAAGTCTTTTAAAAGACCTATATGCTGAGAAGCCTGCCATATGTTACTCAGATAAAATTAATCCCAAAGTCACATTACAAATAAGCAATATGAAATTTGAAGATTTTAAGCCCTATTTTGAAGATATTTTTATGGTTTCAGTCATACTATGTTAGGCATTTATTTCATTCTTTGCAGGGAGGTAAACGGCTGTGAGTTTTGCTCCATACCACTGAAGATAATGAAAGTTTTATCAACAATTTCAATGCACAAACACAAAAAAAAAAAAATCACAGCCTAGTTGATATCCAGATACTTACTCATATTTTAGTCTCATTATAGAAAAAAAAGAAAACAGTATTCCTAAGTCTTCTCTTCCTTTCCACACAATCTCTCTTTGTATCCCTATATAGTTGTATTAATAGCAGTTTAAAAAGAAATATTTCTAATACTGTAATGTTCAGGTAACTGAGGTGTCCAGTCAGAGAGACTAACGCTCCTTCTCTTCACTTTTTCTGTAGAGTTATTTATATAGAGCTAGGATTATTCATAAAAGATCTTCTGATACTGCATGGTTTGTAAATACCAAGTAAATAAGTTTGCATGTTTTATGAATCCTTTTTTTAGGCTGCCTGGAATTGAAAGAAGACACCATTGAAAATCTCCTAGCAGCTGCCTGCCTCCTCCAGCTCCCACAAGTAGTAGAGGTTTGCTGCCATTTTCTAATGAAGCTTTTGCACCCATCCAACTGTTTGGGAATACGAGCATTTGCTGACGCGCAAGGATGCACAGAGCTTATGAAGGTGGCTCATAACTACACCATGGTAAGGCAGTTATAGAATATCTAAATTATGATCTTGTGAATCCTCTATATTTTATGTAAGCAAAAATATCTTGCTAGTTTTAGCTTGAAATCATTCTGTATTTGTATTGAACTTTATTTCATAAGTCGTCTCTTTGAAACCATGAGAGGGGTGATTCCTCTCGACTTCAGTGAAGTTATGAGAATTGTCCTGGTATGATGAATGCATTGTCTGCTGAATTAGAACAGTATATGCCTTAGATGCACGTTCACATACAGGTGATAATAGTAAAAAAGTACCTGTAAGTCATCAGAATACTTTTTAATCGCTGTTCCTTTCGGTTTAGCGTTAGGGAAGCTTTGTAATTGTTGTTGGAACAGTATCAAGGGAAGTTTTGTTTCATTTGGGGTTTTTGTCAAGAATTATCCCTCCTTGTATTCATCGATGGAGTAGATTAAGACAGAAAGTTGAAGACATAAAGAATTTTATCTGACAATATTTTAAATTTTTCCAGTTACACCTGACAGAACAGGTATAACTGTTTTTCTTACCACTACATCTCAGGTGGTTATAAGCTTTTTATGTTTACAGAGCTATTTCTGTGGCTGGTTTAAATTTTCTCTATACTTAGACATCTAAAATGTAGTTTTCCAGGTCCAAACTACTCAGTTTAACCTTTGTCTGTCAGTGGAGAGAAAAAAGCTGTCAAAGCAGAATTTATCTGATGTACCTTAGAATGAGATTGCATTAGAATTAAACAGGTATGGGTTGAAAAAATTCAACTTTTTTATTAATATATTTTTTTAGATTTATGTATTACTTTGATATTTTCACCCTTTTTGAGTGAAAAGCAATATAATGAATAATGAAAAAAATGTAATAAACCCTAATAGAGGAAAACCTTGATTTAAAAAAAAAAATCATCATGATTCTTTAAAACAATTTATTTAAATAATTTTGGAGTCAATGAAATTGCTGATTATAGTACATTTGAAGACTTGTGACTGATACATATCTGATGCATCACAAAGTGCATGAAGATCTGTGCCCATTTCTAAGAGATTGGGTGTATTATATAATCTTTTATAGTTTTTAATGCTCAGGTCTAAAGTCTGAATTAGGTGTAATGGGAAAATTGCCAAGAAAAATCAGTAGATCAAAAAGGAAGTAATTTGTAATTAATAAGCAAGCTCTGATGTAACTACAACACATTTACAAGCAGGCACGATAGTCACATTTTCTCTTTGCTAGAAAGACAAATAATCACATCTATTCAGTTATGCATTTACAATATTTTTTTCTGAGCATGATTAAACTTCCAACCCAGTGAAAACAAAATCCTAAAAGTTAATCTCCATAGTGCATGATATTTTCATAGGCATCGTGTTATTGCATTCAAGTGTGAGGCAGCTTACATCTGTTTGATTTACTGTTTTGTGTTTGAGCGTGTGGATGACCAGTTGTGAGTGGGGAAGGGTGCCTTATGGCCTGTCTTGACTACAGTGCTTTCTATAGGAGGGAATCTACATGAGAGAAAAGTGATTATTCCATCTACATGCGTGCATAACCGGGAAAAACTACAGTGCACGAAAGATACCCTGGAGAGTGTGATACAGGAACAGCAAACAGAGACTTGTAATGTGAAGAATGTGTAGGAAATGATAAGCAGAGCAAAGAGTAGATGCATAGTCTCTGAGGTAACGGAAAGCATTATCTTTTTTCCTTCAGACTCCAGGGAATTAGTATGAACTGTGATGAGAGCAAAGGTAAAGTAGGGCAAGGGGGAATTTGTTGACAAACTCCTCCTGTCCTATGCAGAGGATTTGAGGGGAAGACCTCTTTAAAAAATAAGGATGGGGAAATCCTTGTTTTCTAAAAGTTCCCATGCTTTCAAGAGAACTTCAAGGTCCTTTCTTTAAAGCTTTTCAGGCTGCTTTCTTTAAGAGTTGCAAGTGATGTATCTAAAATTCTCTCTGTGAATCCTCTTCCAGGGTGTCATTGAAAAAGCTCATTTGTTGTGAATAGGAAACAGTAGTACTCCCATAACTCTGGCATATTATGTGGTCGCTTGCTCATAAAAATTTACCATTCTTTGAAAGCTATAGAAAATAAATAGCTTCAGAAGTTTCTGATACGAAGGCAGAATAACGGATTAGTGAATGCAGCTTTCAAAGTCTGGATGATTCTGCATTCTAAAGAAATATAATTTTTCTCCATGAAAATGTGAAAACTAAAACAGGTGAAGTGAATTTTCTGTAGCTTATTGTCTTAAATATTTACTTAAATTATTTATCACATAACTAGTTTAATTGTTAGAAAATTAATTTCTCCGATATATGAAAAGCACTTATTAGGAGAAAACTTTGGAGAGAGGGGGAAGCTTTGACAGCATTTGAAAGAACTCTAATGGCTTTTGAAGTCTGAAATAATACAATTTCTTTCTATGTTTTTTCAAATCTTTACAAAAACTGAGTTTCTTCCTGGATATTTAGCACTATAGTGCCAGAGTATTTTAATAATATATCGGTTCAGTGAATAGGGAATTATAGCTGACTATCTGAATAGAAAGTTCTATAATGCTAATCATGAGAATATTTTTTTAATAGAGTACAAATAACAAAGTTAATGGAGTAGATACATATGTCCCCAAACTAAAGAAAAAGTAAGGGTAATAACTAAAATTATATACCTTTCATCTTGTTCTTTACATCTACAAAAATATCTACTCTACATTAAGCACAATAAATTATTTTAACCCCATTGTAGGTCTCTTAAATCTTGTAGCCAAGAATTATCAAAAAAAAAAAAAAAGAAAAAAATTCTTCTTCTGCTAACCATAATGCTATAGAGAAATGCAACTAGGCCTGACAAAAAGTAATAGTGTTGTATTATAAAGTTTTTTGAGAACAATAATTCTACGCTGGTTGTGGGAATGGGGAGCAAGACAGCTTTTTTCAACTAATGTTGCAAAAATAAATCTATAGACATGGCATATACTGTAGAATAATTTTGAGATTTGACTGAAGTTAAATCTCGTCTTGGAATAATTTTGCTTCTTAGTTAATTACATAGGTGAAATTAAATAATAATTTTTACCTAAAAAAAGAAAAAAAAAAACAAAAAATCCCCAGAGAACTAATTTTCTGTAGTCTGTAGTTGAAGGCTTTTGTTTGCTTTTTTGCATGGTGTGTTTTTTATTTTTTTTAATGAATCTGCTAATTTAAGTAGCAGCACAAATATCTATGTCTCTCTTGATATAAGACTTCTGTACTTCTTAATTACAGTCTGGGTTTTTACTAGCTTGTTAATTTCTGTAAATTTTCAATCTGCAAAGCCATATGTCTGATGACTTTGAATTATTAATTTATTGTCAGTTACATGATAGTACAGTGAAATTCATGTCTGATGTCTTTTTATAAAAATCAAAACCAGCAAAATGGAAAACATCAATAAGCTAAAGTATTCGTCTAACATACATTTTTAGTGACAGTTCTTTATTCTTCTAGTTATCAAGGGTTTCATAGGTAGGGAAGCTGACCTCTACAGTCAGCAATTTATCAGCTTGTCTTGCTTGTCAGAAGTTAATCATAGTCTATGGTCTTATCTGTCTCTTTATAAAACAGAATAAAGTCTAATTCAAAATTGTGATGGCAAGCTTGTTGGGATACAATTCTTTTTAGAATATATGACTTCTTTTTTTTTTAAATATACTTCATTTTTAACCATTATAGGTTTATTGCTGAAAGTTTGTAACAGACCATGCTAGTTTAATGAACTCTGTGGCCTTGATGTACCATTAGCATTTCTCATAACAACTAGTTTTCTACATTAGTAAATATTGAGAGAGGAAAAGTATGTCATATTTTTCCTTAAAAATATAATTGCAGTTTAGTTTCAAAGCAAGGGAAATTCTTAAAGATTTTATTCATTCTTGTAAGGTTTTGAATACAATTGTAGTTTGCTCTTTCTTTCCCAGTAAAGAACATGGTTCTGCTGCTGTTATAGCATATAGATAATGCTTAGAAATTTAGACTGTGATATTCCAAGTTATAGAATCATAGAATTGTCTAGGTTGAATGGGACTTTTAAGGTCATCAGTCCAACCGTTAACCTAGCACTGCCAAGTTACCACTAAAGCATGTCCTTCAGCACTACATCTCAATATCTTTTAAATACTTCCAGGGACAGTAACTCAATCACTTCCCTGGGCAGCCTGTTCCAATGTTTGAAAACCCTTTCAGCAAATAAATTTTCCCTCATATCCAATCTAAACCTCCCCTGGCGCAACTAGAATCCATTTCCTCTTGTCCTATTACTTGTTACTTGGGAGAAGAGATCACCCCTCCCCTCTCTAGAACCTCCTTTCAGGTAGTTGTACAGAGTGATAAGGTCTCCCCTCAGCCTCCTTTTCTCCAGACTAAACACCCCCAGTTCCCTCAGCCGCTCCTCATAAAACTTGCACTCTAGACCCTTTGCCAGCTTCATTGTCCTTCTCTTGACATGCTCCAGCACCTCAATGTCTTTCTTGTGGTGAGGGGCCCAACACTGAACACAGCACTCAAGGTGCAGCCTCACCAGTGCTGAGTACAGGGGGATGACCACTTCCCTAGTCCTGCTCGCCACACTATTCCTGATGCAGACCAGGATGCCATTGGCCTTCTTGGCCTCCTGGGCACACTGCCGGCTCATATTCAGCTGGCTGTCCACCAATATCCCCAGGCCCTTTTCTGCCAGCAGCTTTCCAGTCACTCTTCCCCAAGCCTGTAACGCTGCATGGGGTTGTTGTGACCCATGTGCAGGAGCCGGCACTTGGCCTCATTGAACCTCATACCATTGTCCTCGGCCCATCAGTCCAGCCTGTCCAGATCTCTCTGTAGAGCCATTCTACCCTCAAGCAGATCAGCACCCCCACCTAACCTTATGTTACCAGTTTCTTCATCTCAATATTATGCAATTTGACTGAAGCCTGATTGTTTCAAATGGAAAATTTAAATACTTCATGTATAGAACTATTTAATCTT